ATCGAAGCTTAAAGCGTTTTGACCTATCGCATTTGAGCGGTGTAGAGAGAAATGTGCTTGTATATTCTAGAATAATTCTTTTTTTTTACTCTTCCGTCTTAATCGTATGCTTCGTCATTCATGTTTGTTTATAAATGGGTGTGACATAACCTCGACTGTTGTAAATTGTTAGGCACATTTATATAATCGACTCCTTCTCTGGCTTGTTGAAATTTCTCTTCAATGCTACGTCTCCGCTGTGGTGATATTTGGAAACCAGGCCAGTGGAAATATTCGGCATTTCTATCGCCAAGCTTTTTCCTTTCAATTGTAAACTCTGTTCTTTAATCGTTGTTTAATGATGTGTGCCGAATAGTTTATAATCTCTTGGTTTGTTATTTCCGCTTAACATTGCCCCAATTTAATTCCAAATTATTCGATGTATTTTCGATTCAAAACGAAACTCCTTATCTTAGAATGCGAAAAAAAAATGGGTAAATGAAACTGATCCACAAAAGATCCAGTCATAAGGAGTTTTTTTCTGTTCCTTTTAAATTGGTTGTTTATTTATTCAAACATTTACGTATTCATCTACTTATTCATTACACAGCAACTTTGAATGTCAGCGCTAGCTGGTAAGACTATTAGTATTACTTGTTACGGTACAATTTAACAGACAGAAAGAGCATCATTTATTAACAAACGTAACTACTTTATTAAACAACTTGTAATATTTTTATCAATGACCGACTGTAAAAGGAAGTAGAATAATTATCCTTGAATAAACTGATTGAAGCCCACCATAAACTATTTCTTAGCTCACCACTGACACAATCTCACAGTTGTCTCCAAAGTGCCTCAAAATTAACAATTTTCCACAGTACCTCTCTCTCGGTATAGCCTTCTGAAAAGTCAGTCACTCCCGACAACAACATTACTGTTGCACAACCGAGTCCTTATTTACAAAGTATTCTTGGAAATTCCGGACACTTACAACACAACCATACTGGTAGACAAAGTGTTGTATCATAACTAAGTAACCTAGTAAAATGCTTCAGAAAGTTCCTTGGTATGCATTTCAGCATGACTAGGCATTCTCTAAATTTTTAGAAACTTATACTTTAAGTTATTATCCATATAGCTCATTGTTAAAAGTAATAACAGCGTTTGGTGAGAAGTTTGTAAACTCAATAAGTGAAACGTCGAATATGAAATAATCATGCGGTAAGCGCAGAAAGTTGGCGCGTAAGAATCAAAAGATAAATACGTTCAATTAAAGGTGCGTGCTAGAGTGCTTCTTAAAGAAAGACAATTCGTGATATCTTGACATGAATTCCCGCCTCATCTGTAGTAGACTGTGGTCTTATTCGAAGGAAAGTCATCAAGATACTGAGCTATTAGAAATTTAAATTTATGGATTGATTTACTTCGATGAATCTTGCCTACAAATATATGATCGCTTAGAAAATAAGCTTATAATCATAAAGAAGATAGGTTACAATTACACTGAACTGGTTGAGTGCTTAAACATTAATAAAAAGAAAGACCTCTTTTTAGCTGCAGATCGCAAGTCAGACCGATCGTAGCCTACTTATTGCTGTTAACTTAGTGATTGTACTAAGTAATTGACTGTCATTTCCGGTTGGCTGGATCCAATTATTTAAGTTACGAGCGATTTCAATTCAAACTTGTTGAGTTGTTCTTTATAGCAGATGGAAAAACGACATTCATCTTTCCTTTGAATCCCTCTCTGATCTGCAGATAGACAAGCAACATGAAATATGGTTCTTAGCACTAGTACTCGGATATTTATCGAAACAATAAAACTTGATGATATGGAGTTGATAATCAGTTTAATGTTTTACTTACCTGACTGTTTCGCATGCAGTGTAGAGCGAAAATCAGGAAACCCTGCAGCATAAAAATGATTTCAAGATCATTGATTTTTATAGTATACAAATCAGTCAAATACCTATTAAGATTTCCAAGAAAGAAAGAAAATTGCATATCTTATAATGGAAAAAGAAGTCTGTCTTATCTTGCATACTTAACTGCATTTTTGTTTTCAAATTAAAATTTAAAAAAAAATGTGATCACTGCAATGGTGTCCCACTTGGTTAGAAAGTAAAATAAAGATAGAGATTGAATAATTTTGAGTATTACCATCGAATACTGACCTGAGCAGAGTTAAGTACGGTGAAGATGTGAGCGAAAGCTTTATGTACAGGCGAAAGGAGACCGAATACCCATGTGACACCCAGCAGGGGAATCATTACCACGCATGCTTTGATGCTAATTCTAGGAGTGAAAAAGAGAAAATTCCTTTATTTTCCTTTGACAATGAATTTTCATTTTTAGATATCGTATGGCCTTACTGATTAAGGAATGAGGAAGTTAGGCGAATATAGCCTCACAGGAGGACATGGTAGCTTCTTCCACTCTTTTGTTTTAGGTTTAGGTTTAGGTGAATATTACCGTATTTGCTGAGAATGATTCTCTTCCCCTATCGGCTGCAACAAATTGCTCATCTCCTTTATGACTCGTACGAGTATCAAGATATTGAGCTGAAAAATACAATAAAAATAAATTGATTATTAGGATATGGTTGTCGAATAGCCAAAGTAGAAAGGATCCTTGCTAAAGACGTTATTAGTTTGGTAACTAGCTTGGGATGAAGGGTCATTTACAGGGAATAGAACTCCCAATTGTGGGACCTAGATTATGAGCTTCGATTCCCTGACTTCGAGCAAAAGAAATCGCGAACTAAAGTGTCTGAACTAAATGAACTATGCAAAGTGAATCCTCATGTTAAATCACATAAATTTAATATCTCCTAAACTTCCTGCTCCTTTCATCTTGTTCAATGTTTTTTAAGAGTTACTTTTGCGCAAAAAACATATCTTGGTATATCAGTGTGAAACAGTGAGAAAACTTCAACAAGGAAAGGGAAGAATCTTTTTCCTCATACTATGTAGTTAAAGTTTGAGAATGTATGAAGCTATCTATTTCCCGTGTAGACTTTGTACCAACAGGCTTTACTCGCTATTAAAGGCCATCACTTAGTCAAATTTGACCAGCATCCCTGCAAACAGCAGCTGCGTCCAAATTTTTTTGTGAGTAAATAGGAAAAGGAAAATAGTAAATGATGTGTGAGGTCATATCATACATATTTAATTCCTTTTTTAAAGATCAGAGAAAAAAATCTTTAGCAGCAAGTAGTCCAGGTATACCAATCACAATTACCAGCACTAATCATAAACTCACAACTTCAATGAAAGCCACAAAAGCGACGAATATCCAGATCAGGTTGTCAGACGAGGAAAGCCAGCAACTAAACTCGAAGAGGTGAGAGACACGAAAGAAACACAAATTGTCAGCAAATGAAATGATACCTGTCTCAAAATATATGAAAAAACAAAACAAAGAATTAAATGCAACGAATTAAAAGGAGAAGAGCAAGAAGAAATCGTCGACGTTTTTTCTTACTATTTATCACTCGTATAGCTTCGTAACCCTTCTTTTCCAGCA